TATATATATATATAGATAGATAGATAGATATCAGGGAAAATATTGCAAAATAGTCCCGTAATAATGCTTTGCCTTAGGGAAAAAGGGAAGCCTAAGTAATTACAATTGGTCTATTAAATAGGTTGAGGGAAAATATGTTTCACACGGCTAATAAAGGGAAAACTATAAAATGTTAATTCATATGTACTTGAGATCTAAATAAAAGAGGAAGTTAAGTGTGAGAAAGCGTTTAGTTTTGAATATTAAATAAGATTTAGATAAAGGAATAACATAAAAAGATTAGTTGAAGCTTTTTAGCTAAGTTTTATTATAATCTATTTTATTTTATTCCCGTCGTTGAACATAAGACCCAATTATGTGTTTTCGACTACCAATCTTTTAACTCCGTAGCCTTGTAATTTTGAACCCAATCCAGAAGACAAGGGAAACTGCTGGATTAAGTTTCAGGAGAAAGTTGCCTTCGAGGAGGACATTTTGAGGGAACTAATCAGCATTTACGTTACATGGAGAGGAAAACCACGAAAAGCTCCCTCCAATTAGCCTGAAGTCAAGATTACTCTTACCCATAATTCGTCTACAACTGAGGTTATTTCACGTCACCACTGTGGTTGGTGCAAGCCGGATGCGGAATTCGTATCGACCAACCGTCGTTGGGATTCGAACCCGGTTCACCTCATTGGAAGGCGAACGCTCTATTCCCTGAGCCATCACGGCTCTAATATAGCTATTTAAAAAAAAACCTCTGTTACTTTTGGTTTAGTGTAAATTGTCTGAATAAAGCAGGAAGATTGAGCAATGAAATATACATTTTAGTTAGCCTAATACACGTGAGCTCACTTTAAGAAGCTTAAAAAGTGTCAGATTGATAAGAAAGTAATTGCAGACTTTTCCAATTAGCACTGATTACAACGATTTGGATAATTCAATTAGCTTACATCATATTTTGGGAACAGTTTTGCTGAGTGAAAAAATTAGATTACATGTAAAAAGAGAAAGATAATAAAAATAAATACATAATAAAAGTAAACAAACAATAAAAATAGATAGAAATACTTTTATTTTTTTCATCTCCTAAGATACGAAAATAGAGACTGTTTCTGTTGTCGTTCGACAGGAACTCTTTCTGTCGCCCTGTTAAAACATCATCACTGGATATGCTTTGATTCACTAAATGTAATTTTAAAAGCTGAAAAAAAAGGAATAATAAGTTTTGCATATAAATAATACTTAAAAACTCTCAATAGAAAGGATTATCAAAATCATACACACGAAATCAAAATTTAAGAAAAAAAAATCGAACTTAAGTTATCTTTGTTTTATTATTTTTAGCATGTTTCCGAAATAGAAAGGCATTAAAGACCGTCTATATGAAAGGTTGTGCAAAAGCATTTTCGAAGCAGCTACATGCATTGTCAGAAATTTCTAAGTAAAAATGGTTAAATATCAATTTATTTAACTGTTTTTTCACTGTATTCAACCAAAGCAGTTAAGTGACCATAAAAATGATATTAAAACAGTTAAGTTTGAGAAGAAAAAACGCTTATTGATTGTTTTTACGTAATATGGATTAACAACCAGAATTCTATTTGCGCCAACTAGGCCCATCTTATGAAGCCATTTTGTTTCGTGCAGATGAGTACATACTGTAGCTGTGAGGACTAATCGGTCAATCTTATAATCGGCTGAACAGGGGGTAGAATTCCAGCGTTAATACCATAATATTTCCTCAATTTATTCAATACATGAAGAGTTTCTTGCTTCCTGCACCCTTTAATTGGTGATCTTAGACTATTATAATGTAAAACTACTATTTACGCAAAAATGGCGAAGCACCAGTGCTCGAAAAAACTTAGAAATTTTACCCGTCCCCGAGGACGGCTTTCCCAACAATGTACCCGTCCTCCTTTGAAACTAACCCGTCGCTTCTAAACAAAAAAAAATATTATTTTTTCTTATTTATTACAAACATTTATATAAATTACACAATGAATTAGTAGCTACTAGGATTACATTATACAGTAATAAAAGAAATACTAGGTTACTAATAGTAAAACCTAGTATTTCTTTTCTGAAATAATTTATTTCTTTTATGAAATAATTTAAATGACAAAGGTCAAGTTATCTGGAATGTCAATTTATCCGAGGGTACTGCGTTTTTTAAATGAATAAAATATGACGTCTGCCAGTTTCACAATCAAGCCTATGATTTACAGAGGTTTCTGCACAGAAATCTGAAAGCCGTTTTTCATTTAGGTGGATGTTCATAATAGCGTTTAACGTTTACGTAATGTGTTTTTTTGTAAGTTTATTGCTGAAAAGTCCCTTTCAACTGCTGCAGTACTCCCAGACGAAAAAAACATCAATCAATCCACCATACGCAGTATGTTGCTGTACGGGATTTCTAGATTAGAGGGTCATTTTAGAAGTGAGGCACTAGACTTTTGTAAGATAACAAAAATTGAAAGTGTATCACGAACATTAACGGGAAAATGGCCGTCCGCGCGGACGTCTGATTCGAGAAATTCGTTGTCCGCGCGGACGTCTGATTCGAGAAATTCGTTGTCCGCGGGAAGCCGAGGACGGGCGGACGGGCTGTTTTTCGAGCCCTGCGAAGCACCCATAGAGCTTCAATGTACGTTTAAGTTTTATTTTCATGGTTTAGAAACTATGCTAGTTATAAATGGTTACAAAACCGTATAGTTTCGTATTTACTGTTTTTAAACCACGCCAGTTGTAAACGGTTTCAAAACCATAATGGTAAAAAAATGCTCCATAACATTTGTGATTACTTAGATGGACAGACTGTTGCCAGTTATTTTACCGTAATTTAAAGCAGAAAACTATACCTGAGTGGGTACAACCTGTTTTATAGAGGCCAAGGCTTGACCAACGTCATGATTATGGCAATTCGGGACAGGCCTCTTTTTCTTTCCAGGCAAGCTGGTAAACATCGATCTGAAATGACACCTCAGTGCCTTATCTATGTATAACGTCTGATCTAATCCGATAATCTATGTATAATGTTTAATTCACAAAACAAAAACGTCACAGGGCAACTTTTTCAATGTAGGTTTATTTTAGGATTTTTGATATCATAAGTCTTATTACGAGTTATTAAAATGCTTACTGTTTTTATGAATAAGTAACTCTACGATTTTTTCAGACTTAAGAAAAATTTTATTAATTGTAAAAAAATTAGATATTATGAAAATCTAAGATTACGAAATCTTAATAGAATGATTGTAAAATATTTATCGTCAAAAATTTTGTCTAAGAACAAGAATTTAATTGTCAATCAATCAGCTAATTTCTCATAGTGTTCTGGTTTTGTTTTTGGAATTTTCAAATCCATTTGGAACAATAATTATTTTTTAGAATTTAAATTAAATGTAAAATTTCTTTATACACGCAGTATAAAGAGGATTAAACCATTATCCTTTACAATGACAGTTAAATGCCTTTAACAACTAAGACATAGTGGCTCAGTGTAAATATCCTTGGTTTATAAAACATTTAAGCATGTTTAACCACAATTTTAAGCATGTTTAACCCCAATTACTTCGCTAAAACTTTAATGCAAAATGCAAAACACATTACCGAAAAAATCAATCTTTCGCAAACTTACAGTTATGTGAATTACACCAAATTCGCATAAGTTTATCAACATTGCTTAACTGTAAGTTTAGGACTATTAAGTAAGCAGATATTTATTCATCATTTTTCTATTGAGAGAATAACTGAAAACAGACGTAATTATTACAGAGAAAGGATGTATTATTGTTAACCTAAGGGGCATGAAAATAAACAGTATAAAAAAAACAGTAACAATACCTAAGTTATTTGGCGAATAACATATTGATATTAAATACAAATATTTTGATAACATTTTTTTTTAGGAAAAATAAATTCTTTCTTAAACTAAGGAAAAACTAATGAATAATATTTTAAATTTAAATATTTAAAAAAGATAAAGTCAAGAAGTAGGATTTGCTAAAAGTAAGCAAAAAAATAAGATTAAGTAAATAAATAAATATAATAAATAAGCTAATATAACAAATAAATAAACAATAGTAAATAAAATGACGGGTAATAATTACCCATTAAGCAGATGAAGTGTAAGTATATGCTTACCAAAAAATTAAAAAGGCTGGTGAAAATGAGGGTTAAATCTATTTTGTAACCAAAACGTCTAATATATATTTATAACTAACATGACATACTTATTATATGTCACATTTGTAACGAATATGACATATTTGTAACAAACATAACATATTAGTAACTAGCATGACCTATTTGTAATTATCGTGGCCTATTTGTCAGTAACATGATTTATTGAATTATAAGCATCCTGTGAGCTTTGACATAATATTTAGTAAAATTCTATAAGTAATTTTATTTTATAACCGGTGCTGAACAACCAACTTAATTCTAAGTTTACGACTATCACTGTTCCACTCCGTAACTTTGTAATTTTGAACAAGACAAGAGACAAGGAAATTCGTGGAGAGGATTCCTAAGGATTTTCCAGAAAACAAGGGAATTCCTGGATCAAGAATTGGGAAAATTTTGCCTTCGTGGAGAAATTTCTGAAGGAACTAACGCGCATTTGCTTTATATGGAGAGCAATTATCATGGCCTATTTGTCACTAACATGATTTATTGAATTATAAACATCGTGCTAGCTTTGACATAATATTTAGTAAAATTCTATAAGTAATTTTATTTTATAACCGGTGCTGAACAACCAACTTAATTCTAAGTTTAGAACTATCACTGTTCAACTCCGTAACTTTGTAATTTTGAACAAGACAAGAGACAAGGAAATTCGTGGAGAGGATTCCCAAGGATTTTCCAGAAAACAAGGGAATTCCTGGATCAAGAATTGGGAAAATTTTGCCTTCGTGGAGAAATTTCTGAAGGAACTAACACGCATTTGCTTTATATGGAGAGCAATTATTATGGTCTATTTGTCAATAACATGATTCATTGAATTAAATTCAGAAGACAAGGGAACTCCTGGATTAAGAATTGGGAGAATTTTGAGTTCATGGAGAAATTTTTAATGGAATTAATACACATTTGTTCTACATGGAGAGGAAAACCATGAAAATCTTAAACGATTAGCCTGATGGCAAGAGGAATTATTCAATGCGCTTTTAATCGGTGCAAATACTCACATTCAGGAGAGCTGTTTCGTTCATTTTAAGGACTTCTAGAACATCCTTTGGTATTTGGCAAATTGCTTCATTAGAAGGAGCGAACAATGTCTTCTCAAAAGAACTATCTACAAGGTTTTTAAACTTTTTAGCGTATTCAATAATATTTAGAAATTCCCTGCAAATAAAAATAAATAATTATTGTATAGCAAATAATGAATAATAATCGAAAAAATTAATATTAGTTATTACTATTTTTTAAAAATGCAATACTTTGCTAAATACAATAATAATATACAGCGTGCCAGGAAAGTATAGAAATAGTTAAATATCTGGAGAAATATTTTTAAAAGAAATGCAGTACATGAAACTCGATTCCCAATTTCATCCTCTGATTATTGTGCGGGAAAAGCTTTGCAATATTAATCTCTTTGCTGCTGATTTGAAAAATTGGTAAAATTTGACCTAGAGGCATTTGTATTTTGGTTCATATGTAATGCAGCAATCGTAAAATAAAAAGAGAAAAACCCTTTAGTTGAATTGATATATTATTTTTCTGTGCCTTTCTTTTCTGTAAAAAAAAGTACACAAACTTTATCTATATATTTTTAATGCTGATTTATGGATGGTGCAGCAAAAGTAAAATGAAAATGGAAAATCTGTAAGACAAATTAAAATTTTCTGTTAAATTTGTGAAAAAAAAGAAAAAAAATGGAAATTCCTTCATAGGATTCTGAAGATGCCTCCCCTTTCTTTTCGGAGTGAGGTTGGAGGTCAAGTTTGGCATTATAGAATATCTCATTTGAAAATTTTGACCTGTGCATTTCTATATTTATGTAGCAATGAGTATTTTTTCAAAATATCAGGCCATTTCAATTCTCTTCGGACACCTTGCATACGTAAAGGACTATTGCATACATACATTGGATCAAAGGCAGGGAACGCAAAAAATGGGTTTATAACTTGTGCTCTGGTGGTAATGCGAGTGATGGAAGGTTTGCATCAGAACAGTGTTTCATCACCGTCGCTGAACAGCTGACCCAATATTTTGGGTTTACGACTACTAATGCTCCATAGCCTTGTAATTTTGAACTCAATCCAGAAGACAAGGGAGCTCCTGGATCAAGTATAAGGAGAAATTTGAATTCGTGGAGGACTCTTTGAAGGAACTAACCAGCAGTTGCGTTACATGGAGAGGAAAACTACGAGAGCCACCCGTGGTTAGGACGAAGAGGGGACTCTGACCCATGATTCGTCTACTACTGAGGATATTTTACGTTAGCACTGTGGGTTGGTGCAAGTCGGATGCGGAATTCGTATCGACCAATCGTCGTTGGGATTCGAACCCGGTTCACCGCATTGGAAGGCGAATGCTCAATCCCCTGAGCCATCACGGCTCAAGACCAGTGTTTGAGCACCATTTTGAAAAGTATCATAGGGTGACAGAATGTTGAAGAGCGAAACTTAGAATAAATTTAAAATCAGATCACAAAAGGCGCATAGAATTTCAAACTTGAGAACTTCAAAGCAACTTTAAGGACAGTAAAGAAGGAAAAAGTATGTTTATTAAACTTGAAACTCATTTGAAGAGCTCAGTGGATGAACCAGTCAAGTCAAATTTTTGGAGTAGATATAATTAGAGTGAGAAGGAAAAAAAAGTGGTATTCGAATTATTTTATAATAGATTTATTAGACGACGGGGCTAACAATTCTTTGCCTTATTTTATGTACCCCTATCTAATTTGAAATAAACATCATGAAAGCATACTTAAAATTAATTCGGATTAGATGTGTTAAGATTGAAGTGAAAGCAAAAACAATTCTGTTACATTTAATATACTGGGTAGATGTAACCGCGTAATGTTATTTTCCTTGATTAATAAATATCCCTGAAAATATCACTTACCTGCAAAGTCACTCTATATAGAATGCCCGTTTACGCATTTTAAATATTTGAAAGTTCAACAAATTTTAGGTATTGTAACAAAAAATACTTTTTTTTAATAAACTGACGTCGATGATGCTTCAGTTGTGTGTAATCGGTTCTTAAAAACATAAGCCAGGCAATGTTAAAACGGATATTGCTTAAAAATTGTGAGCAAAAATGTATAATAATAAGCAACTATGATTGTTTAAAATAAAGTTAAAGTTGAAGACAAAATAATTACTACTTCCATTTGAAGAGGATAAAGAGTTTATTTCCAGTTTAAAATATTCCTTCAAAAATGTGTCTGTATTTTAATTTTGGGAAAAACAGTTTTAACATTGAAACAAATGAGAAACTTTCGAATTCAACTTGTCGAATTCGTGCAGTTCAACTTGAGATGAGTTTCGCAAACTTTATCACATTGTTTCTAGTAAAACATTTAGGCATAAGTTCAGAAAGTATAAATACTATTGTCATAAAAAACGTTTTAATGCCAAATGCCGTATATCAGTCAAAAATCGTTTAGTTTTATCTTACTTTTTAAAATTCTCCGCGTAATCAAAAATTTTTTAAAAAACAGCCGTGAAGAACTCTATCTACACGATCAGATCTTGTCTTATGAAATCTAATTAGAGTATCTCTTTAATCTTTAATTCAAAAACGGGAAGTTAAAAAAAAGAAAAGGATATATTAGAGTTTTCAGTAATACTCCTATAGTTTAAAGCTATCGAATTAAAACATCTATCCTATGCAAAATAAATTCATTTCTAATTCATAATGTAGTAAAAATATTCAGTTCAATTATTCGAACGACGAAATAGTTCTTTTCCGACAGAATTGCTTTTGACTTCGAATTTCCGCTTCCTTAATCCTCAGAGAAGAACAAGTCTTTTAAACGACACGAAAGCAAATTTTCCTTTTCATACTTAACTGCTCACAAAGACACAGAAATTACGCATAGAAAGTGATATTCGATATCCCGCGAAAGCCTAGAATTTGGATTCGTTCATCGTCAGCAAACGATTTCAATCCCAAGTGGCTTTTAGTCTAACTGGAATGGCAACGGTTCGTTTCAAAGAATAAAATGCGATGCATGCCTTGATGAGTTCGCGATTTCCCTTCTCCGCTGTTGCGGCACAGAAATGTAACACAATTTTCATTTAGTGTTCTTTGGTCCGAATGAGTGGTTAATTAATTCCAGAGCTCAAAGAAAAATAAATTAAATAACCGAGTACATTTGGAAAGTTTAAACAGCGCTTCGTTCTGATCGGATCTTGAGATATAACTTAACATTGAAGTAATAATTAAAATTCGAAAAGTAGCTATTGGAAGAAAATGCTATAGCTTAAATAAGCACTCAAGTGCGCAAATTCTGAGAATAATTTACGATGGAAAATAAATTAGAGAAATAGCGAATTGTAACCGATTGGATTTCCTTTCTGATTGAGAAAGTTTCTTAAAACATTTATTACGAGAAATTTGAAATAACTGAAAACTTCATTAATTCTGCCGCACATTTCTAAAATTATGGAGAATTGGTTTCAAAATTCACATTTATGTTTCAGTTTAGTGAATCAAAGGCTCTTCAATAAATTTAAGCATTGTTTTTTACCATGTCAAACTAAGTTTCACATGTATGTCTAAAAAACGTTGGCCACTGTCATTTTTTTACTGACAAGCCACGAAATTCGTCTCCGGTTTTCCCGGGAGATGATCTGTTTCTTTTTCCGTTTTTTCTCAGTTCGTTTACCACAGTATTAATTCCCTTTTTCCTGGTGAGCAGTTCATTGTAAAACATTGGTTGAGGGCAAAGGTGTTCTGTGTAGATGACATGGTTGAGAGAAAGTGAAGCGATGCCACTACCATAGTGCAGTTATGTGTTTGGTCGACAAAACTTGATTGAGTTACTGCGGTCTTATGTGCCATATCAAAGTCTATACTCTGGAAAGTAATAAAAAGTTGTAGGAATTTTTTCTTGTTTAAGTGCACTGTAAGTTGCCATTGAGTCAGGTGCTGAGAAGCAAAAGACATTGCAGTTAGATTTATTGTTTTGCCATCTATGTGCATGTGTGTTAAAAATCATGCTTAGTTCTGACCCGCGAGAAGAAATGAGATCTGCAGTTTCATTTCTTCTCGCGGGTCAAATGTCAAACGTAAAAAAATTAGTTTTTTTTAATTTAAAAAAATGTCCATATTTCCATAAATATTTAAGCTACGAAATTTGTCAATCAGTTTGGGACCCACTTTACTTGTGATATTCACCTGAATTAATATTGAAAACGATCCAGTTTGAGCTTTAACTCTAACCTTTGGGACCGTGTCAATCATTTTGGGACCCTCTTTATTTGTGATATTCACCTGAATTAGTATTGAAAACGATCCAACTGTAGGTCAGAATTTCCGATTCTTACTCAAAACAATAAAAACAAAAAAATATCTTTCAAATGATGAAATTCTCTTTTATTCACAACTCAAGAAGTATTTATGGGATCTCTAGGGTCCCATAGCTCAAGAATAAACTCACCAACTTAGTGCATAACAAAATTAAAAGTGAAAAAAAAGAATTCTAAGAAAATTATCAAACAACAGCGGTCTCCATAGCAACGCATGCAATGACGATTCATGTGCATTGTTTACTATTACTCTTGAATACAATTTAAAAGTGTTTTGACACCTTTTTTGCCAGTGGGTAAAAGGACAAATATTTACCGTAATCTAAACAGGAATATAATAAATCTTACTGTAATCTGCCTTGTTTCTCATTCTCAAGAAATTTCCAAACTGAAATGTCAACAATCATGAGTGGACTCTCAATTAAATGAACAACACCATTTTCAACTGGAATGTTTGGTTTTAAAATCTTTGCCATTACAACTCCTTTCTTGTGCCGATAATTGCTGATAATTGTGTTGCTTTGAGCGTACACTAAAACATAACGTTTGGTATCAAACATATAATTTACATATAACAATTCAAATAAACAACATATAACGACATACATACATATAACAATTCAAATAAACAAAATAAATTTATAAACATTAGTTAAAGATTGCAACAGTGAAACTTTGTATTTAAATTTAGCAATTTCACTACACATTTTGATATACACATAGCGCATATAATACTGTATACATAGCTACTAACTTTTACAATCATTGTAAATTTGAGTAGGACATTTAAAAAAAAAGAATATGCTTGAAGTAAGCCGTAGCGGATGAGTCGTAGTTGTAATATTTATTTACGTCACACTAGAGGTATACACAATGGGCTATTGGCGATGGTGTGGGAAACATCCCTGAGGATGATCCGAAGACAAGCTATCACAATTTTGATCCTCTTAAGAGGGGATGGCACGTTTGCTTCGGTGGGCTGACGAACTGAGCGCGAAGTCGAGCACTTTACGGTAGAACAGTTTAACGAGGAATAATACAGCACAGATCCAAGTGGTCACTCACCCGCACACTGACCGCAGTCAGTGATGCTTGACTTCGGTGTTCTACTAGGAACCGTGTCCTAACGATCAGTCCACTGCTGGATCATAGTGGATGAAATAATTTTCTTAGAAATGTTACTTCAAATACAAACTTTAAAACTCTTTTTTTCAACGAGCGTAGAAACTGACAGCTGTGAGTATAAAATACCTTTTACGTTTATTATGATTTAATAGATCGTTTATAAAGTTTTCAAATACTTAAAAAATTGTAAATATTTAAATATTAATTGTATTAAATTCTGTTCATAATCATCAAAATATTTTTATACTTCCGCCCAGGTAACCGAGCGGTTAGTGTGCCTGACTGCGAACCAATGGCTATGGATTCGAGTCTCGCTTAGGGCGATCGCTTTTTTTCTATGTTGTCCTCCAATGTGTGAATGTGGTCCACCCTATAAACGGGCATCTGCGGTAGTGTTGCGTGGATAATGCTGCTCGCCTCCGTGCCTGAGGTTCACAGGGGCCCACCGGGTAACGTGCTTCCAGGTGACCACAGGAGATCAACCCGGGTAAATGGGCAACAATTCCGGCATCTTCCGAGGCAAAAGAACGATAATTCAATGCCTGCATTAGAAAAAAATTGATACCTCTAAGTAAATATATATGTTGTAGGCCAGTTGAAAAATCTGGCTCTTTGCAAAGATTGTAATAGTTTCAAGTATGTATCGATGTGCTTGGTATTCTTAGGCTCATTTCAATACTCAATCCTAAAGAATTCACACCCAAAGGCATGAAACAGAAAATATATGAAGAAGTATTCAATTAGATTGAGTTTTCTCAGACTAATTACATTAGACTTGTGCTACGCAGGCCTTTAAATAGAGTAATAAAGAGATTTTTTTCAAAATTTATAATTAATCTTGAACTAATTAGACAAAGAAAGTCTTTTTAACTAATTTATTTAATTGTCAATACGCTTATGTGGACACTGTTAACAATGGATAGTGAAAAATTACGTATTTCTTTTCATTATTGATGACATTTTTTCGTAGGAAATGCTCCGAGGAAATTTTTGTCAATTTGAGGAAATTACTATCTTCACTTGTTTAAAGACATGAATTTCGTCCAAAGCATCGACCAATTTATCGCATTTAATTAGGAAATATAACATAAGATAAAAATTAATTGAGTGAATGAGTAATTACTCATTGCAGGATTCAAAACCAGAATAAGATAGCGATCTAAGTTCTGCACTATATCATCATACAATGTACTACATCCTCTACAGAAAACATCTTATCGTACTGTGAGCAAAATATGAACATTCTAATGTATATAAATGTTTATATCACTTTAAAGTACATATTTTAAGAGACTAAATGCAAAATTCATATGAAATCTGTCGAATAGTTCTTGAGAAATAAAATTTTTAAACATATGACATTTTATGTAATTGCCTATCAACTCAGTTTTCTTCAGTTAATAAGTACATTAAATTCCACTTTATTTAGTAAAGATTCCTCAGATTTCAAAAGCGTTTTTGCTTTTATTTCGCCTCAACCTTTGCTGCTGTTTGTCTACACTGTAAAACATGGATATTCCAATATCACGAAACTTTATTCGTTTTTGACAAAACCATTTCCTGGTATATGCTCCGAGGAAACATTTCATCAAGGTATGAAATTACTTTCTTTATTTCTTCGATGAAACGAATTTCATCAAAATTAAAGAAATATTTCGTCATTCTATTTTTTTAAAAAAAAAATCCCTCGTAGTGCCTACTGCATCTAACTTTTATAATGACCACTTTAACGTGAGAACCGTAAAGGTGGAAAAACACAACAAAACATAAAGATAAACTATACACTCATGTCCGAAGCGGAAATCGAACCCCGGATCTTCCAAGTAGGTGGCTAATGCCTTATCCACCATACATCCCGGTAGGATAAGTTTGCCCCATTAATTACAATTGTCTAGTCTCTATTCTATTATCGTTATTTTAGTTAACAATTAGTTAACAATCTCTATTAATGCACCACGTTGAGATTTCGAGTTGAGGAAACATTTTCATCATTGAGGGTCTCCGTTTCATCACAAATCACGTGATTTAGTTATTTTGTTCATTATTCAACATTTTATGTTTATTTAACTAAAATTGATTCTGATCAATATGACAATTATGTATAAAATTGATTCTGATCAATATGACAATTATGTATAAAATTGATTCTGATCAATATGACAATTATGTTGTTAGTGGAATTAACCAAAACTAACAGTGCCTCGGGCCACTGTTAGTTTTAGTTAATTCCACTAACAACAGAAAGACTCCAGTGTGTTTGCAGGCAGTGTGTCCCTGAAGAAGTACTGTTCGGAAAACACAAATTTATATTTTCATTTATATTTTAATTGTAAAGATTTTTTATCTGTCTTAATTTTATTTAATTATGTATCAAGTTAATACGAATGCAAAGGGTCAAATATTAATTTGCAATTCCTAATGTGTAAATTGTTTTTATCTTTTTTGGCCAAGATTAAGGTGGATCAATAAGAAACACTTAATATATTTAAACTTCTCAACAGTATAAAGGAGGATTTTAAGATAATCGTTAAAAACTTACAAACATATGAGTTCCCCAAGGCTTTCGATTCATTAATGATGGATAATTCTACTTTAATATCTTTATCATAAGCTTCACTAGGATAACTGTCAACTGTGACTAATCGTGTAAACAGGACATGTTTGGGTATTACATGACCGCGTATTACCTGGAAAGAACAATGCATATTAGGTCTATAAATCAAATTATTAGATAACATTATTTAAAACATGCAATTGGTTCTGAATGGCGAGTTTCTCTCTTTCCAACAATAGGCGTAGTTACTTCTTTCAGGTTAAAATCAGGAAATTGTCAAATTTGCTTTAACAATCTGAAGATTTGATATTTAAATGAAATCTTGAGATATGGCATAAATAAGCATTTAAGTTTAATATTTAGAAAATCTTTGTAAGAAAAAAAACTATCGAAGAGCCTTGCTGATGGAGAGACATTTTTGCAAAAAGATATTTCCCGAGGAAATTTTCTTTTTTAAGTCTTATTAACTATATAACATTGATTTATTTTGATTAGTCTTTAGATTTTCAAGAGCACGATGGATGAAAAAAGCCTATGAATGGTTTTGGAGTGAAAGAGTGCTCTAAGTGAATTTAGCAACAAGTAGTCGACAAGAAGTGGTCTTCGAAAACCTGTAATGTGTCATAAAGTTAAATGCCCAAAATATGGAATATCAGTTAATGCTTTTAATTAGCTTTCATTAGTTTTGTAGCGTATCTACCACAACAAAATTACAACTACAATTCACTAGTATATAAGACATGTTAACTCGACTCTATGTCGGGGTACCTTTTCATAGATGACGGTTGACATGGTCTGTAACTCCGCTCCTCACATTGGTGACCCGGACGTGATGTGAACACACCTACCTCGGCAGTAACGCCCACATCGATATGAACACGCCTACCTAGACAGAAACGCCTACTTCGATAGATAGTCCACATTGAATAGTTGCCTTGCTACTTGTGGCTGCGAGTTTATCCACCTCCTCGCACTGTTGCTATTCAGTCTCTTCTCAATCACCCACAACGCCGGCTTGCATACACTCGACTGCTAAAGGCAACACGGGAGCGACTACGACGTGATGTTAATACACCTCTCACATTCAGCACTCATAAAATACGGTGATATTAATACAGCTCTCTCGGCTTCTCACAAAACAGCAATGAATCAACTAGTGGTATTCGTTCATCGAATTCTATCACAGGTATAATTCTAGTGGGGGAGTACTGTAGAGTATCTACCACTACAAAATTACAACTACAATTCACTAGTATATAAGACATGCTAACTCGACTCTATGTCGGGGTACCTTTTCATAGATGACGGTTGACATGGTCTGTAACTCCGCTCCCCACAGTTTATTAACTGACTGTAGTTCTCTCAAATTCTCTAATATGTTAAACAACCTTAATCCACACAGCTCTTCAACTGAAGAGCACAGTGGAAAATCATTCTTAATTGTATCAGAACATTAAATTATTCAGTTAAAGAACATATTAAGCCTATTACGGTCAGATATTGCATATTAATTTGTACCTTCAAATAGTGCTTATTGGAAAAAAGATGTTTTCCAAATAACTGTCAGAAGTTTTCCCAAATTCTCAAAAAAGTTAATAAGAAGCTTCATTCACACATCTCTTCAATGGAACAGCTAAATATGGTAATCTTCTATTGAAGAGTTTAGTGTAAAAACAGGCTTAATGGCATCAAAACACTAAATTACTTTATTAAAGAATACATCAGGTTACAAGCTAGTGCAGAACATGAATTTATTCTTCGAATTAATTTTCACCGGAAAATAATGTTTTCTAAATAACTACATAAACGGAGGTTTTCTGAAATTTATGTCATCAAACCTAATCAATCACTAAAATCTTCTCTCAGTGCAATTAAGCATACAAGGAAATATTTTTTAATATTTACCCATTTGTCAACTTCCTGTTGCCTGTTTCTGCTCCATGTCAAGCTGTGTCCTGTTCCTGCTCCAACTGGAAGGAAAAATGTGTGGTTGCCTTCTCGCTGAAATAGTTCTTTCAGTTCTTCTTGGTTTACTCGATAATTAAATGCACTAAAAAATTACGAAAAAAATTAATTATTAAATGCACTGAAAATATTGAAAAAATTAAATGATATAATACAAGTAAATCTTGATATAGTTCCTTTACTGAACTTAAAATTTTCTCAGTGTCAACTTCAACACTGTTAAGATAAAGGAAAATTTATATAAATAAAAAATCAAATCCATTCCTTTTACTTAACATTTTTCCACTAAATAATTATTATAAATAGATTTCTAATATGTTAATTGGCCTTTGAAATAGAGTTTTATATAACGTTGGAATCTTATTGCACTGGATCTACCTAATGTTTGGCTCCATAAGCTATTATATATGGAGCCAAGCATTAATGAAAACAAACATTGTTACGTATGTTATTCAAGAATAAATTTAGGTTAACATTAGCTCCTTTTTGATTTTAGTTGTTTTTCATAAGTGAAAATAAATAAAATAATTTTATGACTTGTCCACACTAGCCAACTAGTATGGGGCAAGAACATTTTTTAAAAAGAGTCTATTACAGAAATATAAATTCGAATAAAGTTTTATACTATTCAAAACGATACTAAGCCTTCAAAGTTTTTTTTTAAAATAAACAAAATATATGTTTTTATATGGTTAGTTAATTTTTTAGCAACTCTATACAAATTGTACATTCTAGTCTCCATCTCTCTTACAATTCAAAATATGTACAGTTAGAATTCTTTTACGAATCTCCAAAAAGTATTTAGAAGTAAGAATATTACTTCCTAATTATTTCGGTTTCGGGATGGGCTTGGCCCACTATAATTTTACTCATTAAAAGGCGAATTACAGTTTTGCTGGAATGATGTCGATGAAACTTGATATAAGCATTATATAAGCCACGTGAAAAAAAATCCTAATTAAAAATAATTCAAATTTCGAGTGACAGAGGGTGCTGTTCACACATAAAGTCAAATGAAACAGTTTAAAAAGCAGTTATTGCATAAAAACATTCTACAGCACGCCATTACAGAAGAAAGAACTGAAAGCAATGATTATTGCGCAGCAAGAAACAACATGAAAGCGCCTTTTAAAAGGAAATGAATTGAAAACAAGCATAACATATCATGTTGTTGCTATAGTTCAAAAAAAAAACTTTCGTGCTACAGATGAACTCAATTTAACACACTTCAAAAACATGTTTGACAAAAGTGAAGGGAACATTAAGTATATTTTATGATTTCATTAGGGTACGTTAAAAAGGCGGATTTGTGGTCTATATGGTCTTCTCGTCTAGTGATCAAAATTTGAACTAGTTCCATTTATTTTTACTTTATTTCATAATCGTCGTTGAACAGCTGACTACTAATGTTCAACTTAGTAGCCTTGTAATTTTGAATGCAATTTAGAGTACAAGGTAACTCCTAAATCAAGTATCGGTCAAAATCGGCCTTCGTGGAGGACTTTTTGATGTAACTAACACGCATCTGGGTTGCTAAAAAGGAAAACCACGAACACCTTCCATGGTTAGCCTGACTGCAAGAGGACTCTAACCCATGATCCGTCTACCACTGAGGATATTTTACGTTAGCACTGTGATCTGAGCAAGCCAGATGCGGGATTCGAAATCGCTCTATTCCCTAAGCCATAAGTGGTTCATGAAATGGAAACTACGACTCTTTGCAAGTTGCCAACGACACTTTGCAATGCGCCTATAAGGAAAGGCTGAAAGTAAATATATATCAAGATGGAAAAGAGCAAAAACTGATAAATAAATTATTTCATTCCTGGCTGTTTTGAGGAAAAATCCGTGTAATTTTAAAGCCTGCTATAAGGCTCAATGCAATAAGGCTAACAAATAACGGCGGCAGTTTGCAAAGAGATGGATTTTTTATTTCTCTTACTAGCTTTCATCGACATCCGTCAACTAGAACGGATCCCCTTAACGATCGGTCAATTTTCAAAAAAACGGTCATAAAAGTGCCTATTTTTTATACACGTATTTGATTAGTGCTGACATCTAGTTTAAAATAAACTAACTATCTACAATAACCTTAAAAATATCCAGGGACTGCCATCTGGTGTGTAAAATGAGAAATAAAAGGCTTTCCGGGCAAAAGAAATGAATTAGTTTTATTCTTATTGGCGCGTTACTACTGAACACTCTAGCCCGGGAATATCACGGGAGTTAGAAATCAGGGGCGGATCTACCTAAGGGCTTTTTGGGCTGCAGCCCAGGGCCCCGTGGGTACAAAGGGCCCCACAGTCCCCACTGAAAACAATAGGTGATATTTTAAATTTTAAAAAAATATCTAATATTAAAAAAAACTATTATAAAGTTGGCAACCCCGAGATCAATCAACCCATGCATGTGCGCGTCTATCGAACGGAACGGGAAATTCCCCATCGCTTGTTTTTGGCCAGTGTATTTTTTCGTGTCGATTACGGGGGACTTCCCGCCGAGCCGCTTAACGCCTACGTAATTTTTTTTCGCACTTCTGTTCTCGTCGTCAAAGTGACAGACTTGTTTAGTTTACTAACTTGTTTAAAAAATCATGAAGATTCTAATGAACACAAGAAACCAATGTTAGTGTGGTTGACACGAAAAGAAAATAGATCTGTTTTAGACAAGCAGCTTCAGAAACAATTAAGAAAGGGAACAGAATATTATCACTATGTCCTAAAACAGGTTATTGCAGTGGTCAAATTTTAAGTATAAGGGACTTAGCATTTAGAGGTTCCGAGGAAGTATTTGGCTCTCCACATAATGGTAATTTTATGGGTGCTCTGGAGCTATTGGCAGAGTTCGATCCATTCATTCGTGAACACATTGAACAACGAGAGCTGAGACCAAAATCGATAATATCGTACTTATCAAAAACAGTATATGAGGAAATAATTGAGTTTATGGGCCAACAGATAATTAAACAAATTATAACTCAAATAAATAACGACGACACAAAGTATTATTCAATTGTGGTGGATTCTACTCCAGATCTATCTCACAATGATCAACTTGCTATTGTATTACGACACTATTTTCGGGGAAAAGTGTATGAAAGATGTGTATCCTTCATTAAAATTTGTAGTCATACTGGCTTACATTTATTTAATATTCTACAAGACGTCTTAGAAACAAATGGACTACTACTGGATAATTGTAGGGGACAATCCTATGACAACGCTGCTAATATGGCGGGTAACTACAATGGTGTACAAGCACTACTAAAACAAAGAAATAAATCCGCGGATTGTGTGCCATGTGCTGCTCATTCCCTTAATCTGTTAAGGTTGCAACCAAAATTGTGAACTTTTTTGGAGTAGTGCAAAAAATATACTTTTTCTTTTCTACTTCGACCCATAGGTGGGAACTGTTAAATCGTGAAACAAAACTCAAATTTACGTTAAAAAGTTTAAGACAAACTAGATGGTCTTGTCACAATGATGCTGTCAAAGCTTTGAAAAATAATTATGATGACATTATGAAAATTTTCGAAAGTTTCAGTTTGAGGATGAGAAAGTTGATTTTCGGAAAGAGGCACGAAATTTATTCAATAAAATAGCGAAACTCGATACTGCAATTTTGATTATTTTTTTGGGAAGAAATTTTGGGGAGATTTAATTTAGTTAATAGAAAAATACAGAGCCCTGGATATATATATGTAGATATTTGATATAATTGTGATATTTGTGAAGGCCACAAGTTAATTGTGTCATTAAAAGACTTCGTGAACAACATAAGGCACTAATCAGGTCAGAAGCTAAAGGAATACGAAGAGAAAGCTAAAAAATTAAGTACTAGTGTGGGAATTGACAACAATGACATAAACAAGAGACGCATTACTCCAAAATGTTCGGATAAGTCTACAGATAAATTCTCAGTATACGGCGCAGAAAAATTTAAAAGAGACACTCTAAACGTTGTGTTGGATAAGCTGATTATGGATTTAAATAAAAGGAGCCAAGTCTATGAGATGTATAGCAAGAAATTCAAATTTTTAATGGATTTGCAAGACGAAAATATGGAAAACATAGATCGTGTACGTAATATTTTTTATTATTATCCAGAGCACGTAGACGAGCATTTAATGAATGAGTGCATTCAGTTAAAATCTTATTTACTTCAGCCTAAGCCAGTCTTACACCTCTTGCAGTGAAATTTTTATGGTAATTTAAGAAAAGAAACTTGTTGATGTTTTCCAAATTGCTATACTATCTTAAAGATTTTTTTAACTTTGCCAATCACTAGCTGTGAAGCGGAGCGCTCTTTCTCCAGGATGTCATATATAGCAAACAAATATAGGACAACAATGTCAAACCATCGACTAAATCATTTATCAACTCTTTCCATAAATTCTGATTTAACGAAGGACTTACAATGTGATGAGCAAATAAAGGAATTTGCAGCACGAAAATGCAGAAAGGTTGCTTTATAATTTATGCAACATAACTACATATAACCTGTCAATTTCTTTTGCAATAATGTTGTACAGTTTGTATACACAAATAAAAATAAATAAATAAAATTATTTTATTGTCCTATTTTTTTCTATATGCTTATCTACATCACTACAGAAAACAATTTTTTTTTGACAAAATGGCTATTAGGGCCCCTAAGTAGTTTCAGCCCAGGGCCCCACAAATTCACGATCCGTTAACGATNTTGTTGCAATTTCGTATTTTTTTCCTGCAAATTACCCACATTTGTTAGTGCTTTTATTTATTTATTTTGCACAGAAACAAACTTATTTATTTACTTAAGATATTTTTAACTGGATTGAGATCTGAGTTTTTAACGTTAGCACTCCAATCTAGTTTTTATAAGGTTTTTTATTTTGGAGAAAATGGTAAAAATTGCATTTTAAATTGATGAAATTACATTGTCTCACCCTTAAAATTTCTTGAGATTGATCGTTAGATAATTTGAATTTAGAAATAAAACTGAGTTTCGATTTATTCTATTGTTTTTTAATTTTGGAATAGTGTGTTCATCATACATTTTTCTGTCTTCCTTTATATATTATTATTTGGTCCCGCAGTGGACTGA